TATACTATATATATATATATATATATATATATATATATATATACGTAAACAGGAGATGAGTTGTGACCGCGTCTTTTTCCACCACACTCTTCTAAGCTCCCATTCCACGTTACCTATTGTGCTTCTTCCACAGCTCTGCGAAGGTCGTGTAATCAAAGCAGCCCTGCGTGATGAAATCCCACACCTCATCCGCAATTTCTTCGCTTCGGTTGGAAAGTAAAGCTGTCGCATCCTTCAAAGACGCAATCGACTCGCAATGCTCCAACACGTAGGCGTCTAACTCCGCTTCCGTCTGCGCAATCACTTCCTTGTGCAGCCCATACCTTTCGTGATCACTCGGTAAGGAAGAAAAGGGTGGCAGCTGACGGAAAACGACATCCGCATCAAAGTTTGCTATGAAGTCCTCAATGACGCCAACAAGATTGTCAAACTGCGCGTCCTCCGGGGTGCCACCGGTACCGCACACCACAAACTCACCGTCCTCGGTGTCCATCTTCACTCTTTTCAAAAAAAAAAAAAAGCATGCCAGTGAAAGAATAAATAGCAAAGCAAGGCAAAACAAAACATTGAAACAACACCACGTAAGACAAGCGCGTGAACGTACCCCTAACCCAAACCACCCCCACAGAGTCACACAGATAGGTGCTACTGAAAGTCACACTCACTCAGTTATCTGCAAGAGACTCCAAATCACTCGCGCAATTAATATGCGCTCAGTGACAAACTAATACCCCCACAGCCATGTCTATAGACGGGACATCTCATGGGAACGGAAGATCCTCACCATCCAAGCATCTTCTTTCCTCCACATCGGTCTGATTAACAATGGGTCCCGTCGCTGAATGCAGCCAGTTTTCACCCTGTACGCGCTGCCGCTCCTCAAGAAAATCTTGTATGGTAAAGCGAATATACCGACTTGTGCGGGAGACAATAGCAGTGTAGTCCGGCGTAAAATATCCCTCATGCAGTAAGATATCCTCTCCAAAGGCCGAGAAGCTGCGCCTTTCAGTTGCAAAGGCACCATTACATAGAGAAACCGACACACCCCCACTGAGTAACAAAGTAAACGCGTCACTCCTCTCCCCACATCGGTACAATACAGGACCCTCCATTTCAGCTGCATCCAGCCGAACAACGCAGTCGCCAATGCGACTAAGAAAGCGTTCCATCTGTGGGCAGGTCCATGTTGCAAAGGCAGCGTAGGAATTGAGAAAAAAATTGGCAAGAGTCACCTTCTGTCCCCTTGTCATCGCATCATTGCCCACCTTGTCACCTACAGTATACGAGTAAAAGTTTGCACGTGGAACACCCCCAAAAACAGCGTGGTCCGAAATATGTTCCCCGAACTCGTCACGTCGGCTTTGAACACCAAACCTTCCCCCTCGTAGGCTGTTCTTCTCCTCCTCCTCCTCCCTCACCTGCCCTTCGCTTATCCCTCCTCTTTCTTCTTCGATTCTCCAGTCGTATTCGTCGTAGATGTCTGCCTTGATAAAGCGTTCAATGACATCCTCCAGTGTTACAATACCAATTATTGGAGTAGCGGTTCGGCTCTCCAAGGCAACTTGGGATGTAAGAATTGCGATCTGTGGACCTGTCAAGGTGTGCGTCGTTCCCATCGTTGACTGTCGTCCCCCCAAAGTTCCTTCTCTGGGGCTTGCGACCGCCGTCACAGTATTCGGCTTGCTTAGAAGTGAGTGGTCCACACCCTCACTTTTGCGCTCCCCTTCCACAAAAACCAGCTGTGATTTACCCGAAAGGAAGATCTTTAATAATTCATGCAACGACATTGTCTCTGGAACGATAACAATATCATGTGGGTTTGCATTCACCACATCCTGAACGGTGATACCATTTTCCATCTCCTCAGCGGTAATGGTAATGAGAGAGCGAACAAACAGAATCCCTGTGATGTGTGTATGGGCATCACCAGAGTAAACAGGCAATCGTGAACGACCGCAGGTCCACAGCTTTTCCATCAATTTGCGAGTAATAGTTGTTTTACCGGGAAGCAGTAAGACCTTATCCAGCGGTTTGAGAATGGAGGTCAGATTCACATCATGCATTTCAAGGGCACCGATAATCATGCGCATCTCATCATCTCCCAGCCCAGACTCATGCCCATACTTCTTACAGTGAACATGAATAAGTTTCTTTAATTCATTTCGGTCGTAGACAAGCCCTTCATCGTGCGTCACAATACATTCCAGGAACATACTCAATGGTTTCGCTACGGGATAAAGAACAAAAAGGACAACGGACACAATGGGAACACTTTTTGCCCCAATCCAGAGCGCGTACGGCCCTTTGTTGCAGATACCCATGGGTATGATCTCCGCACATATGAATACAAGAGCGGTGGCCACAGCAAAGTTTACAAGCTCTGTCGACTGAATAACGGCGGCTACCATCTGTGAGATAACAACCATGGTGAGCATATTTCCAATAAGCAGCGTTGCTAAGAGTTGGTGACCATAGCGCCGTATGGGAAGAATCTTTTTGGCGTACGTACTATCTGGCTCGTTCCCTGCAGAAGAAACAATCTCAAGCGTAATAAAGTTCATGCCAAAGAAACCAATGGTGAGTCCAGCAAACATTGCGGCCAGCAAGACATTAAAGACTAGGATAACGAAAAGCAGGACAAAAGGCCATGATGCATAATCGGTTGCGTGCGTCTCGTGTCGCGTGGCGGCCGTAGCTTCCCCCGCCACCTCCTCTGTGGCCACGACGCATAGCCACAGAAAGAGAATGCCCAGGCCCAACTGCCTTCTGACCATTGAAGGGTCTAATAGACTAGACATGTATGGACACACACATGCACACGTTTGCGAACGCCAGAAGTAAGAAAGAAACAGCAACAACAACAAAAAAAAAAAAAAAACTAAATCCCAGTCACATTGTATCCCGATCAGCAGAGCAGAGAACATATATATATATATATATATATAATACCATCTTAACCATATTCTATTAAACTTTTGATACTAATCCATACAAGGTGCCAATCTATTCAAAAGTTCCATATAAATTGCTTTCGTTTCGGCGTCGCAATAACCCCTCCTTGTCATCACCTCGAGACTGGAGTTGTCCATGACCTTCTGATCGTTGCGTTAACGACACATTTGTTGGCGAACGTTGAACCACATCTGCGGATCCAATACTCATCACACATTTATCATATGTTTTACTATAGACGTCGTTATAGCCAAGGTACCGTGTATACAGCTCCTGTGGAATACGGTACAGCCGTGTTGGAGACAAAACCACAGCGTCAAAGTCAGGGGTATAGCTCAACGATGTTAATGCGCCCTCTCCCAACCACTGAAAACTTCGTCGCTTAAGCGGAAAATGGCTGGGACACACAGAGACCACGACCTCGCCGCCAAGCACGAGCGTAAAAATATTGGTCGCCACACCCTCACGGTATAGTATAAACCGTTCATCCCGCACCACGGAAAGCGGATTCGTGCAAAGATCCACATTGGAGGCCTCCAATGAATAATATGGTGAAATCCGTGTTGATTCAGATCGCTCAGACATAACCAGTGAAGACCTCGGTGAAAAATGTTGCAAACTGATTCGTGAGGCTTCCACTGAGGCCTCCTCTGCAACAGGTGTCGCAAGCGGAATAAGTTGCTCATCACCACATTCATCCAAGAGCATTTTAACGTAGCCTGGATGCCACAAAAAAAAGGCAGTTACAGTTCGAGTTAAATAGTACGCAACAGACCACACCTGTGATTCTGTTAAAGCAATATTTTGCAAATTATGAACGTAATAGGAGTAAAAATTTGCCCTAGGAACCCGTTTTGGTTCTTGAAGAGGCATGAGTATCCCTTCTGTATGAATACTCACAGAGGCACAGAGACAATTCGAGTAATCGTCCACAGAAAATTCATGGCTGTCATACTCATCGTATATTTCCTCTTTGATCAACGCCTCTGTGACATCTTCTAGAGTCACAATACCCACAATTTTTTCACCCTTCTCGAAGCAAGACTTTCGAATAGGGGAATGAAAAACAATGGCTTGGTCGCCTTCTTTGGCGGTCGCTTCATCCAGTTTCACCTCGCTTGTGACAAGAAACATGTGTGTTTTGGCGTGTTGAAGCGCTCGAAGGAGTGACGGCAGTGATGCGTTGAGGTTCACAGTGACAAAACCTCGAGATTTAGCCTTAACTAGTTCACCAATTGTAATGGGATCCACATCATTAATCGGCATTGGCACCATCAGCAGATCCTTTACAAGGAGAACACCAATGTAGTTGTTTGGCACCTGCACCACAGGAATGCGTGAACAGCCACACGCCCACAACCATTCGATTAGTTTTGTAGTGATGATTTCCTCCGCCTTCACCACAGTGGTCTGTTCAATAGGGGTCATAATATCAGAGACCTTTCGCTCATGAAAGTCCATCGCGGCCATCAAAAGCTGCACCTCTGACCTAACGAGGCCGCTGCGGTCACCATGCGCCTCACAGTGAAGCATCATCAGCTTACGTAGCTCATTGCGGTCGTAAATCTGTCCCGCGTCGTGCGGCACGAAGATATCAAGTAAACACCCAAGAAATCTTGCAACGGGGTACACCAACACCATGGCAATACGCACAAGTATACATCCAGCTGCGGCAATACGAAGTGAATACTTCGACTTACAGATAGACATTGGGATTACCTCCGTAAAAATAAGAATAGCCAAAGCGCTTATAACAAATGATGCGAGATTGTCATTATTCTTCAATGCCTCTCCCATAGAACCCAAACCACGAAGCTCATGGACACGGTCCAAAACCACACCTACTTGTTGTACAACTAAAACGTTAAACAACATGTTGGATAAAATCAATGTGCATAACGTCTGATGTCCTTGGCGTCTTAGGGGTAAAATTTGAGAGGCATACGTTCGGTCGGGCTCCACACCACTGGTTGCTATAATGTCAATTGTTAATGCATCCATGCACATGATACCAATGGTTAATCCAGCAAACACGGCTGACAGAGAAAGATAAACTACAGTACGTACTATATCCTGCACAAGAAGGTAAATATCCTCCTCCATTTTATAACTTACCACACTGGAGGTTGCCGTCGCTTCCATCGTTGTTTGGACTGAAGCGTGAGTAGAGAGGGCCCATACCGAGTCCAGCGTCATGGCCAAAAGGAAGATCCCAACAAGAAATATCACCCCCCTGTGGGAAGCTGAGAACATTTTCTATTGCCCTGTTCAACGTGTTATTGTATATATTTTTTGTGATATTTTCTTGTGGCTTGCACCCGATTGTCTCTGGAGGCCACACGGCACAAGGGCAGATGCAAGCATCTGAGGAACGTGGCACCCAAAAGCAACGCGATGAACACAATAGAAAACGAAGAATGTAGAGAAACACACATACATGCATACATATATACATGTAATAGTAATCAATACCAGGTGGGGGGGGGGGGGGGGGGGCAGAAACAGCAGCAATAGAAGGAAAAAAAAAAACATATATAGGCCGTTGATATCACGCCTGGGAGATTAAATTCCCGTTTAATGTTTTGTTCTAAAGTGCACACCACTCCTCGAGGTAGCAAAGGACACACCACCTCGCGTTGCCACTATAGCTTTTTCTCGTGGTGGTACGCTCTTCTCCCTTAACTAAATGGAGTTCTACTACCGTCCTTCACTCATGTACTGCGTCCTCCCAAACACAGAAAGCATGCAACCAAAAACAACGTAAGAAAAACAGGTCCTCACAATGTTAGTTACGAACGTGTGAACAGCGTCTGTGAAAACCCACGAGACGACATCACACCACCAGGACCATAATCATCACTGTCATCGATTCTCATCTTCATTTCCCTTCATTCTCTACTCCTCCTTGTCGGCGCATTGCACGCCCGTCAAGTACATTTTGATTTCACTTTGTGCCGGCATTCTTATTTTCTTTTTGCTTCTCTCATTCCTCATTCAGCATCGCCTCCCTGACAGAGTCTCGAAGGGCGATGGCGCAGCGTCCTCATCCCCCCCCCTCCCCCTCTGCCTCTTCTATCCGCCCCGTCTGCCTGCCATAAAGGCACGCAGCAAACAAAAAACATTAAAAAAGTGAAAATGGAAGGGCCTGCTGTGAGACAGCCAAAAAAAAACAATTAAGAAACAAAATAAAAAGGCAGGGATGGTAACTCCTTCTGCAAGCCTCCACAGTGGGAAAGAGAAAAAAAAAGGAGTGGGAGTGAGAAACTACATACACCTGTCATGTAGGGATGGCCGTAAAACGGAAAAGTCGCAATAATCCATGTTTCAAACAGGAGCAGGGGTCCAGTAGCAAAAAAACAAAAACAAAAACAACATCAACAAGTCATATTATAACTCCTCAGTAGATATCCAACGCGAACGCACACATTAAATTTCATATAAATAAATGAGAAAAGAGAAAGAGGCTTAGAAGAACCCCATTCCCATGGCATAATGCATTGGTGGTTTGCCTGGGTGAGGCACATGGTTGAAAGTCGTAAATTTCGGTTTCATGTCGCCGCCCGTGAAACGAATGAAGGCCCCCTTGTTGCCCATCTGGTCACAGTAGTTTGGAGCACTGAAAACCGTGATGCACGTTCCATTGTGCTCAATCTCGTACCCCTCCTCCCTCACCTCATGTGAGCGTACGACTAGCTTCAAGTTGTTATTCTTCAGGAACTTCTCCGTAATATCAGGACCAAATGACGGGCAATCAACGCCACGTTTGCTCGGGGCACGGCCAGGCATCGGCTGCGGATCGGCCCAGAGACTCTCGCAGATGAGACCGTTCTCCGGAATTTCACGGAAACGGTTGGGTTTTTGAAGGTCGTCGAGCACCACGTCATCACGGGAGTATATTCCGCCGTGTACAACGAAGACCTCTTTGTTTATGATATGGCCAATGGGGAGGGCGTTAAACACCTCCGAGAACAGGTGAAAAATCTCTTTGCTGTACTTTTGCGATACCTCGCCCTCAAAACCATACAAGCGGTTCATCGCCAAGCCCTCATGGTTGCCGCGCGAAAGAAACATGTGCTCTGGGTAAAGCAACTTATAGGCGAAGAGAGTCATGACGTTTTCAAACGAGTACGAGCCACGATCTACAAAATCACCGTTGAAGAGGTAGCGATTCGTTGGGGACGGGCATCCATTTATTTTAAATATATTGAGTAGGTCATAGTACTGTCCGTGTGTGTCCCCGCAAACAGTGATGTCGGCCCCTGTCGGCACCTCAATCGACACAAAGTTCGGGTAGCTCTTAAACAACTTCAGCACCCCCAGCAAAATAAATACCACGTCGTGTCGATCAATAAGTTTTTGGACGCGAAAACGTTCCTTGGCGGCCTCCACAAACTCCACTGTGATTGTGTCGCCCTCAATACGGGGGCCATCATAGTCAGACTGCACAGTGCCTAACTTGATCGTGCGTGACACCGGCTCCGCATCAGGTGTGTCGATAGCGTTCTCAAAACGTATGCGACGAACCTCCTTCTCACAGAACTCTAGCTTCTTCTGCGCATCCTTGTCGCCAGGTACCAGCTGCACCACCTTTCTGAAGTCCTTTAGTGCCTCCTTATGTTTTCCAATTTGAAGGTGCGCCGATGCCTTGCGGTAATACGCCTTCACGTACCCTGGTTCTAGCATCAGCGCCTCGTCAGCGTCGGCAAGAGCGGCACCAGCAAGCTCCGTTTTGAGGTACGCAAGAGCCCTGTTGCACAGAAGTGCTGGTGTCTTGTGAATTGATAGAGCCTCTGAGTACAAATCAATGGCATGGTGCCACTTCCCCTCCTGAAAGGCCTCATTACCTTTATTCTTAAGTCTATCTGCCACTTCCACAGCTGCCATGAACACCCAGCTGTAGCTGTTAATCGCCACAAAAGAAATAAATAAAAAAAAACACAAGCACAAACACAACCACGCAGACGCTTGCTGGGAATGTGCGCAAAAAAACCCAAAGCAAAATCAAAAAGAAGACAGCAATAATGCAAAAAAGTGCGAAGGACCAGACATGAACACAAGTAGAAAGTGCATCTTCATCCAGCAGCGAATACGAAATAAAGCAAAAAGAAGGAGTAGGTGCTGAAGGTACCGCCTCAAAGAGTTGCCGCTACACACGTCTTGAAATGTATAAATAGCAAAAACAAAAAAAAAGAGGGGATAGGTGGAAGAGGGGAAAGTGGCAAAGAGTACATTGTGGAGGAAACTACAGTGGTCGTAGGACAAGTCAACACTATAAATGATGTGTGAGAATCCACCTAACTATCTTTTTTTACCCTCCTTTTTTTTTTTACTTTTCTCTCTCTCTTTAAAATATTCGAAGGCATCACACCAAACTCGACATGTTATCAGAGGTGGTGGTCCCGTAGTTGACGCGGGCGTCTCTCACATCTTCGCTCGTCACAAAGAAACGCTCTAGCTCCCCGACATTCAGCCTTCTATCCGCTTCCTCAATGACAGAAAAGAGACGATCCGGAAAGTGATCTCGGAGCATGGAAGCGGCGCAAACCACGCACTGCACATCTTGCGGTGATTCAAATAGAGGCACAAACACCTCCTCCTCCTGACAACAACATTGCTTGGAAGAACAGCAGCAGTAGCATGAGGTATTTCGCACCACCGCTTTACGGTAGTGTATAAGTGTGGCAGGCGGGTACAATTTCTTCGGCTCCGTCAGCAGCGAAGATGATGCCGCAAAAAGATTATTACGAGTGGTGATACTTTCTGATGAATGACATGCAGACGATGCCAATGGCGGCTGCATCGGCTTCGCTAAACGTCGATGACCCATAAAAAGAAGCGACTTGTTTTTTGAAGTCTTCATAAGCTCATCCAAGATGGATTCCCGCAAAGCATAAAGTGTATGACTGGCCATGTGTGGTATGATGTCATTCCCAACAAAACAACCCACAATAAACTCTTTACTGTACGCAACCAACGCAGGGGATAACAATCCCCCGGGTGGCGCATACGCCAGGCATTGCAAGCGACTGCGCAGCGTCACTTCTGTAGACCAGAGCATTATACTCAGAATAGAAGCAACTCCCGCGCCAAGGGAGTGACCAAGCACAACAACCTTGCGCCTACTAAACTCTCCGTGAAGAATACAGTCAAGAACGCCACATTCACGTAATTCCTGCAGCACGTAGGCAGCACATTTCTGCATTCCTCCATGAACGTGGTAGTCGGCATGAGTTGTGTTAGCCTCCAATTCTGTTTCTGGCATCTCAAGCAAACCGGGGGTTGCCACCATGTCCGTGACACAATCAGCGAAGGACATGGTTCCTCGAATCCCCACTATGACAGAATCGGTGGATTGGTCAATGACAACAAAAAACACAGGACGAAACGGAGCATTTTCCCATCGTGTGAGAATGACATCCTCATCTCTGATCCCGGTAACCTTAAGAATTGTAGTTAAGTCACAGCATCTCGTTCCGCGGTGGGAACCCGCATGCCCGCGGCAACACATCCTTGGATCAAAGCAGCAGAGCCTAGACAATCCTGTGCAGCAATGCATGTACTCAAAGAGAGGCCAACCATATGCGGATAGGTAAAAACGACTATACGTTCGAATATCAGCGAGCTGTCTCCGTTGCTTCTCACTCAACGGAAGAAAATGTCGTGCCTGTAAAGAGATGCGTTCACTTTTCCCATCGGGAGCCGGTGGATACTGCACATTTAGTCGTCGAAGGTGAAGCTCACATTTCTGTCTGTTGTGCACAAGAAGCATGCCCGCAGCCACGTCACTCGGCACTATATCATAGCCGCAAAATAAACCAGCCACATTTCTCGAAACATCCTCAAAGACGTCTTTGTTGTGACGCGTATACAGGCAACAGCAAAAAACACGGCAACGAGCGTACCATAGAGACTCGTACTCGACGGAGTCCATCCACACACGGCGCCCGACTGGATCAAAAACCACTGCAAACATAACACCGTAGCAAAAAGAAACAAAGAAATTAAATATGACAACAACATACAAGAAACGTCTTGTGGGGTTCGCACAATATTTACTATCCATGTCATAGATTGTGTGCTTCGTTACTACGCTGGAGAGCACCAGCATTGCCAGTATGGAAAGTGACGTCACACTGAGCAGGTGGGGAATCCGGCGTCGCTTCGACACCTGAAACGGACTCCCCTGAAGGCTCAGCCACGCAAGCACAAGAAACGCCACGGCGCCAATCAAATCCACAATCCCAAGAGCCAAAAAAGTCCTGTGAAGTGTAAGAGAAGCCCCCGGGCAATCCCGTATAAAAGCACCATCGCCATGGTGGAAACGACTCACGGCAAGAGTCCCGCTAACGACGAGAAACGCAAAAAAGAAAACACTGGAAAAGGCGAAATCATCTGTCGAGGTGCGCCACTTCCTGCCGCACCAGTGAAGGGCCGGCATTAGAAAACCTCTTCGTTAGCCTCAGGCACGTCGACCAACTTCCAGTATACCAAATTCCGCTTTCTTTTCGCCTTCTGTGCAGCAGCCACACAAATACCAGAAAAAAGAGAAAGAACAAAAAAGCGCCCACGATCAAACGCCGCACCCACACATGTAAATACATAAACCAGACACACTGCCCCTTTTAAAACCAAAAAAGAAAAAAAATTAACATTTAAAAAAAAATGTCCTGCAAACGCTATGAGAAAAGCATTTTAAAGGAAATAAGTTACCACACAGTGAAACAATGCCTGCACATGTGCAAAAATAAAAAAAAATTTTTTTAAAAAAACAATGTGCCCATGAGAGGGCTCCACGGTACATGCAGGCACGTACGCAAAGCTGCGTGAGGCCTTTTCATTGCATCAGACACCGCAGCCACACCCACCTTTACTATTGCCTATTATTGAAGCATGTCTTTGCAAACAAACAACAACATTCTTTTTTTCCCCCTATTTTTCCAGTTCCACGTTGCCGCACACAAGCAGCTAACGGGGAATAGCATGCGCATCACACACACAAAAAGACGCAACATGACAAATGTAAAAAGGTTGCACGTCACATTTTCTTTTCTAAGAGTTTAAAGGACGTGCTCGCACGTGTACTGTTCACCTTACATGGGTTCGTGACGGTTATCTCGTCGCTGGCAAGACCGAGTGCGTGATTGACGGCCTCAACCCCTTGCATGAGAGAGTGGTCCTGGTTGCCAACTTCGTAGCGCCAGGCCCCAAAGCGCCCTCGGGAGTAAATGCCACGAGATCTCAGCTGGGGTAGCGCCTTCTCAAGTAGATCATTTCTTCCAATAAAGGGTGTGGGATACCCCTTTTCGATTCGATAGTGCCATTTGCTCACAATCACATCGTCAGGAGAGAGCAAATCGGATGCCAAACAACCGGCGATGCAATCATCAATAAGCGATTCATGATTTACAGGTTTGTAGCTACTCTCGCTTACCTCAAGCATGATACTCCAATGCCCTTCTGGGGCGTTGTACTTTGAGTAGTTCGAGAAAACCGTTGCACGGTAAAACGGAGAGGTATCCTCAGGGAAGTATAACCAGCAGGCCGTTCGTAGCTGTGGGGGTGGGGTGCCCTTCAGACCGATACCAATAACATTTGTTGAGCTGTACACCATTTTGTCCGCAATGGCAGGCCACTCCTCATAGTTAGTGAAACCTGTGCCTTTCGTCATGCGCAGAAGGTCACTGTAGGGCGTCGTGGAAATAAGGTAGTCGTAACTCACCACCTCTCCATTGGAAAACGTAATGGTCTTCGCATCGGCATCAATCGCCGTCATTTTAAACCCCTCACCGAACGTCGTTCGTTCTGACGGAAGCTTTTCTCTTATCGCTTGATAAATACCTCCCGTCCCCCCACGCTGAGGAAAACGAAACGTGGCATTAGGTCCCCAACCCACATCATCACGGTTCTCTCTAATGTTCTGGCGTATACGTTCCACGTTAACAGTGGCAACGCGTTCCCCAACCCACTCTGTGCTCATCAAACGCGGTGGCACAGCCCACACCTTAAAATTATATGGTCGCATAAAAACGTCCGCAATTCCTTCTCCAAACTGCCGGGTAAAAGATTCCTCAAAGTTACGTGGTGGCTCCGTGTGTGCCTGCGCCTGTGACTTCACCAATTCATCAAAGCAGCGTTTCATATCCGGTTCCGGTAAGCGGTGAATGTTATTCTGAAATGGATAGGGCACCCACCGTCCCCGTGCCCAAACCCACGACTCACGCTCCAGCACATTCCAATCCTGCACCGCCCAATCCATCACGTCATCAAAGTACTGGTAATGAGAAAAGATAACGTGTCCACCCAAGTCCCAGGTAAACCCTTTCTCATCCACAAAGCTGCGCGACAAACCACCAGGCACGTCGTTGCATTCGTACAGGTGCCAATTTTCGTGGCCCAACTCCGTGAGACGCACCGCGGCCCCCAAGCCGGTTGGTCCCCCACCGACAACAACAATTCTCGGTGTCCCTTGCCCTAGCATTTATATAATATTAGATGAGTTGTTTTCTGAGTATTTGTTCGTATTCCTCTCGTTGGAAAATGATTCTGCTCACTCCACACAGATGTTTGCAACGCGGGACCCCGCACAAGGCCGCAGTAAAGGGGACCAAAAAACGGACAAGAAAAGGCATAAAAAAAAAAAGGAATAAAAAGAGAAACAAAGCCATACAGCTTCCAGTGGGCAGAGGAGTGGGAGGAGGGGGGGCAGCACAGAAAAAAAGAAAGAAAAAAAACATCATGCAATGATGAGTTAGTGGAAAGAATTAGCCGCCGGGGCGCAAGTGGTGAATACAAAATATATAACATTTAGTACTGAATGCCCATAATAATAATAATAATAAAAGTAATAGTAATAATAGTGATAATAATAATCAGGGAAATACGCACACACACACAGAGAGAGAGAAAAATAAAAAACAATCATCAACAACAACGGAAAGAAAGACGCACTTATTGAAGTACACCGCATCAAATATACTCCATGGAATAACCAAAGACCATTTTAATGGCATCGAAGAAATTGGCCTTCCATCCCTCCTGAACAACCTGCAACTCGCCCTCAGGAATGCCAACTTGTGCAACTTCAAGTGTCGACACGCCACTTTCTTCTTTTTTCAGCACCATCACCACAGAACTGTGGACACCGGATGGCCAGCTACGGAGCCGCCACTGCATCTTTATCGTCGCATTCGGCACCACCTCAACAAAGAAACCACTGATGACGCCTCCAAGCAACTCAAAGGCTCCACCAGAGCGGGGATCAATCTTCGCTTGGGCTCGCGTGTACACTGAGGCGCGCTGCTCATTCATAAGAACCGTAAAAAGTTCCTCAACAGGAATACGCCAGCGCATCTTCCACGAAAAACTCGTCGGCGCCGAGTCCTCGGAAGCTGTCCCCGCATTACCACTCTTTGCACTGCCCCCAACGGGAGTAATCTCGTTCCTTTTGGTTGGCGGGGGCAAAGATGAGGCATTCTTTAGGCTTTTACCAATCTGGTAAATCTCAAAGAGCTCTTCAAAGTACTTCATAATGACATTTCTGACGGGGGCACGTCCTTTAGACCGCATTAATGCATCCGCCCTCTGCGACGCCGCGTCATTCTCAGTAACACTGATAGTAACTTCGTATTCATTGCGGAAGTTGTCGTGATCAATCTCTGGTATTGTAATCTTTCCAGTGACATCGTCCCCAGCCGACCACTTCAGAGTTAGTTTAAGCTCAAAGTAACACATCATCTTTCCCTTTCGTTGCGCCACTGTCACGTCCCCGCTGACCTCACTCAATTCATCGACACGCAGTTCGAGGTCGGCTTCCTTTACAAGTGTAACATTCTTTAGGCGTCGCTTAAGTTCCTCGTGACACTCGCTTGAAAGATCACGCTCCTCCCAGTGCCATGCGTTAACATTATGGCCATCCTTACGATCATCCACTATCCACCGAGGGTCTCCTTCTCCCACCCGTGCCATGCCTTTTAACTTCGCTTGTGTTGAGCTCTTTTTTTTTTTACTGAATAAGCTAAGGGCACCTTAACTTCCTTTTGGTAGGTTGTTTGTTGTGTGTTTTGTTTTTGCGGTTTTGCCTTTTTGGCTCTTAAATCATGCCAGATATTAATGAGTGCAACGGACATGAGGTTGACGCCGTTCGATTCAAACAACAAGGCAAAGTAACCACGCATAAATGGCAAAAATGATTTACACGGTAACGCAAAGGGTCCAAAAACATAAAAAAGAACAACAACAACAACAATCGGAACGTAAAGCGGCTCTTCGAGAGACACAAAGCTACACCTGGTGCAGGTTATATAGATATGAGAGAAAGAAAGCGGTTAAATATGCGTAGGTAGCCTCCAGACCGAAGCACAACCAGTAAAGAAAACCCCACCTGGTGATGATATTGATCTATCCTTTCTTTTTCCATCTCGTCGTCTTTTTTTTTTCTCATTATTGCACTTTTTTATTGGAAACGGGGAAGAGAGAGAGAGAGAGAGAGAGAGAGAGTATG